AGGGACCACTGCAGCACCAAACACTGATGGAGCTAAGTGCCCAGCCCCACCGCGCTGTGCTGTCCCCTCCAGCTCACATCTGGATGAGGGGCAGCCAGGCTGTCCCACCTCTGTGCAGGAAGCAACATCCCATGCCCACCAGCTCCTTGGTACCAGTAACATCAGCGGGAAGTGAGTGACCTCCAGGATGCCATGGGCTGTTTGGCAAGTGGAAGCCTCTGGGCTCCACTTTGGTAACACATAAGCAGGGCTATCGGACAGAAAGGGACAGTGAAAACTGCTCTCCCTTTTTTCCTTTGGTTGGCAAGAAAAGAGATCTGAAAACACCAAATCCAGATCTGAGAGCTACCAGGTGTCTGCAGTTCTCTCCCCTTCAACCTTGCCACCCTGCTGCCATTGCACACAGATTTCCTAGGGGATGAGGGAGCTGCAACCTCCCCTCTCCAACACATTCCCCTCTTCGTTTAGCTTCAACCTGCAACAGGCTCCAGGCCAAGGGTTTATGACTGAGCTGCTCAGCATGGATGCAGGCACCTCCATCAGGCCTTTCTGATCGTATCTCGAACCTGAAAAAACCCTGCTTCATCTAGGAGCCAGGAGCTTGCTGCTTTGGACAGGACTCTGCAACCTGGCACCAATCTGCAGACTGGCAAGCTGAGAAACTGCACCGAAACACGCAGTACCACCGCAAACTACTGCAGTCTCCTTGCAGGAGCCTGTAACTATTCTGCCTGTTGAACTGGAGACACACATTTGCTGACTGTTTGCAGGAGGAGGAAGCTGTCTGTCCGTGTCGGAGGCAGGAGGGCAACCCGATCACTCAGCTCAGAAGGAAGAGCTGGGTGGGGAGCTGGGGCTCTGCACGGAGCAGATCGGTTTCTGCAGAGGTGCAGCCTGCAATGGGGTGAGGGAATGAAAACGATTTGGCAGACATCAAAATCTACAGAACAGCCGGAAAAAGAGGAGGAATTGGTATTCACAGCAATCAGGCAAGGAGGAAATGAATATTCAGCCATTCACGGATGAGCAAAAATGCCAGAGGTTGGGACGGGGGACAGAGCCAGAATGAGGAGCCGCAGCTTTGGCAGGGGGACTGGAAGACAAGCACAGCAGGAAGACCCCTGGGCGCTCCCAAGGTGCCAGAGGCAGGAGAGAAATGGGAACCACGTGTGCAAGGCAGCCAGCTGCTCTGAGGCTGGAAGAAAACAAGGCAGGGTATGCAGGGGTAAACAGCAAAGGGTGGAGAGAATGAAGGGGGGGACAGGTCAGGTCCCGCCTAAGCCACAGACTCCCAGAGTAGGGACAAACCTACATGGAGCACTGTGGCTAGCACTGACCTGGGATGCAACCCTCTGAGATGGCTGAGCCAATCTGCAGCTTACTGCCCCCTCAGCTGGATTTTGTTAATCCAGCTGAAAAAAATCCAAATTCCACTGCTGTAGTGAGCTGAACCAGCTCCCTGAAGGGTCTGATGAGTTGAGCAGGACAGGAGTCCGCAGCTCAGCTATCTCATGGACTGTGTGGGATCAAAGCAATGGCAGCCTGCTCTATGCAGTGCACTGAGAAAAGATCGCAGTGCCGTTCTGCAAGCCCTGCATAGACAGTTAACTTTGGTGGAGGGCAGGCGTCACAGGCTGCAATGACAAACTGCTGCAGTGACATTCACACAGTGTGTCACTCGGAGCCTGTCCTTAACAGCCCGAATGACAAAAAGAACACCCCAAACCCTACTACCCCACACTGCTCTCCTTTCTGGAGAAGAAGGGAGTCTCCGAAGCGTGGGTGTAACCAAACGTAGAGGCAGCCATGTCCCTCGGCACTTAGGAAGAAACTGGCACTCTTGAGCTCTCCCGAGGATGCAGAGGAAGGCGAGCGTCCGCAGCACACCAACTGCTAATGAAGGCTTTGAAGCAAGAAGTATTGTCATCCTGGATTCGTGTCTAGACAAGATTTGTCCTCTTAGAAGCAGCCCAATCAAAACGGCCCAAGAGCATTAAGGCCTGTGCTCATAGATCAGGCTGCCATCCCCTCCTGCAATCAGCAAAACCACCTTCATGCTGGTGAGTGAGTCTTTGCTCCTATGGAGAAGGGTGAGAATAAATCCAATCCCATCTCAGCCTCCCTCCCTCACAATATTTCAGGTTTCCACTTCTTGTAGCATGCCTGCTCCTGCACAGTACGATACCCCATTACATTAACACACACACGTTATATGTGCATGATATTAAAGGTGACATTCCCAGCGAATAAACATGACAGACTGCCATTGCTCTAGGCACCTAATTTAATTTCCTCTGGGATTTAAACCTTAGAAGCTCAAATTAAACAAATAGGCCCCGTTCACTTTATATTTCAGACCTGAATCTAGAGTTTTCCTCTGATACTGTTAACTGATCTTATCAACAGGACACCGCACAGAGATCACAATGATGAAGCAGCTTATTCCCTTCCCAAAGGAAAACAGCCCCGCGGTTGTGCTGCAGCCATGGGAAAAGCCGACGCGATCTGGACGGCAAACGAAGCCACCCCATGCGCACTGAACAGGCCTTTTCTCCCATGAAATCTCTCAGCTGGCGCTGAGGAAGCAAAGGAGCTCTCCTGAGCGGCGGTGGGCGTCCCGGGTGCCATAGAGGCTGGGCACTCGCAGCCCTGTGTTTTCACAGCTCTGTGCAAACACTCCTGCCAGCCCAGCCTGCCGAAGCTGGTTACGGGGTGTAGCTCAGCCTTTGTAATGGATGTTTGCAGTATGAACAGGGAACGGCCTCGCCAGCCAGCTGTGGGTATCTGAAACTTCTCCTTCGGTGCTGCACGGTCCTGCTCGCACCAGGATCTCCCCGACCTGACCCAGAGAAGCCCAGACACATGCTATCCCATTGCTAGCAGATCTAGATTCCATTTTCCGTGTGCTTTGGAGCGGTTAGTCACGCTGCGGATGCTTGGAAGACGATGACTAGCCAAAAGAGATAGGTCCCTGTTTTCTATCACAGGTACCTACCGCACAGCCGAGGTCCAAAGTTTGCGTTCTCACTGCTTCACTAACAGCTGCATGTGTCCAGACACGTTACAAAATACCAGGCTATTCAGGTGGATGTGTTCAGGGAACACTCGGGCTGGTGCATGATGTCTCCCTCTCGTGGCAAGTCTCACCTGAGCTTGCCAAAACCTACTTCTTACCTACAGGTCAACTGAAGGAGCTTGTGTTGAAGCCTTCAGTGTTGAAGCTTTCATACCCACAGATAGTTGAGAAACCTGTATTGTGACTTGTTACAGGTACGAGGCTGCAAGTGTATGAAAACAGGCGAGATCTAAAAATGTACACAAGGTCATGGGGCTCCAGATGAGTTCGGCTGACTTTGAAAGCAACTAGTGCTTAGTAAAACATTAAAGAGTTTATAGTCAGCTTGAAGGTACCACCCCACAGTTAACACGCCATCTCTCACTATAGGGTTCAACCCTACCATGAGGGCTTGGAATTCTCAGCTCAGGCAAGGCTGGCTGGGGCCAGAGGTCACGCCAATGTTGAAAGCCTGGCACAGGCTGGCAAATCTTTTTTCAAGGAAGACCCTCAGAAGCTGAGCTAGGAATTGAGCTGCAGCTCTGTCACAGCTTCAGGAAACATGCTTTGTCTAGGGCAAGACACAAGCAACTGGCCCAGGGACAACTAAGCAGGGGTGCTTTTACTGATAATATGCAATTTTCTTGCCTACCTAGAAACAAACCAAACAATCCCACACTTTGCCCTAGTGCTTTGTTTGCATTAAACACTGTCACTTACTTTTCTAGCAGGTTTGTCAAAGAAAGGAAACCATGTTTTATTAGTTCTAGTCTTAGTACAGAGCTGGCTTGTACAGCTCAGCCAGAGAAGGTGGGAACACATTGCAA